ATAACCATGACAGAGGCGGCAGCTTGTCAGCGGGGAAAGCTCAGGCTGCTGAAGCAATGCTACCCAGTCCCGGGTTCTCCTTCAGCCAGATCTGGCGAGGAGGTCGGCGGGTGGTTGAACGGAGGGGTCCTGGGTCAGCTCTCAGGGATGGTGGTTCGATGAAGTCAGCCGACGGAGGGGCATCGGTCGGGTGTGGCGGAAGCCATGTACCGCCGATGCTCAGATGGTGGATTCGGATTAGGTGACGGACCACGGCGGTAGAAGGTTCCGAGCGAAAGCTTAGCCCAATTTTTTTGGGCCAACAGTGACTTCGCCTCCGGGCGTGGTAACCCTCCTGAGGAGTGTTGAGGTACCCTTCCTCCCTCGGCAAAGAGCTCTGAGTGAAAACCTTGTCCAACTTTGGACGGATGACGACGACGTCTTTCGGCGTCGCGACCTTCGTGAGGGTGTCATTTTAGAGTCTTCGTGTCGTGGTGGTGTTGTTGGCCCGGTGGCGATTGGTCTCGCATAGCGATGTCCGGTTCGGTGCTTGGCTTCCCTCTCTGTAGCGTGTGTTTAGGCGATTGGCACATGGTTCAGGGCGTGTGCTCTGGTGCACATCCTTCCTCAACAGCTAGCTGTCGATGTAAAATTTTTCTTGTAACCTTTTCTTCCAATCTTAATTACGTTGAATGACCTCCTTCGGTCATTCCGGCAAAAAAAAAGATTCACGGAGAGTGATATGACAAATTTGTAATAGCATAAATCAAAATATATTTGCAATGATATGGATAGTAATGAAATATTTTTTAATATGGTAAATTTGTAAATTGTAAAGGTATGGGTTAAAATTTATCATTTTAGAAGTATGATCGTTTCGTAGGTAGCAAAGTTTCAAGCTCTACTTCCTCTCCTCATGTCCCGGGCTCCTGAACGGTGACCTCTAATTTGTCCGTCTGTACCGGAGAGCAGCCATTATCGTTGCTACTTCCTCTGTTTTACAATGTAAGTTATTTATATATATGTCTAGATTCATTAGTATCAATATGAATATGAAAAATAGTAAAATAATTTATATTGTGAAACGGAGTGACTAGTAATTTTCTCAAGTACAGTGGACGAACAATCAACCCTCACAGATCAAACCCTCACTAGCTCGTTGTCTCGGCGGCAACGACACACGGAAATCTGTAGGGTAACGGACGATCCACCGGATGTCAAAAATGTCCGACTACGAAAACGAAAGCACGGATCAACAGCAGGCACGGGCGAGCAGCGGAGCCCTGCATCGTACGCGTGCACAGTTGCATCGGGTCGGTATATATCCACGTCGAAGCGTTCCTGCCTGCTGGCTGCTGTGCTGCTGCATGCACACGCTACCATACCAGCGGTATGGGCCGGCCATGTCATGGCCGCTGTGCCGGCCGCCGTACCACGATGATGGGTTCAGAGTTCAGACCATGAATACGACGGGCAATCGATCGCTACTAGTGCTCGAAGCCTCAGGGGATATGACCCTACGGAGTAGTAGGCGACTACAGTTATCACTCAGATCCAGGGCTGGATGCTGTTGGTACCGCGAGTTTTGGCCGCTGTTCGCCTAGTATTTGCCAGGTACGCACTCGCGCGGCACGCGCTCCGCGAGGACCGACAGCGACTCGAGCTGGCGCACAGTGCCACAGCACGTCTCCGGGCCCCAGGGCATAGCGATCGAGGGGCCGGACAGCGACGGCGGCCGGGGATTCGCGGGGCCAACCGCGCGTCATGCGCGTCCTTGCGATCGGGATCGATCGAACGGTGCTTTGTCCCCGCCACTCAACGGCCTCGGCGGCATGGCCAGGGTCGAGGACTTGCCCTTTAGTGTACACCAGTCATTGCATGACAAAGCTTGGAGGCTTATCGATCGGCGAGATGGTCAAAAACCTCTATTTTACCGAAATAACATATTACGGAGAGATTTTTAAAAATTACATACAAGTTACACTATAGTTACAGTGTAATTACATGCAAGTTACAGTGTAATTACATTACGATTATACTGTAATTACATTTATCAAATTTTTGAGAGAAAATTTGTCGACAAATATATAGTAAAATCGTAGCCAATTATGCCGGAAATTTCCTGTCATCCTCCCGTGATATGGGCCAAAATTTAGGCCTTCATAACCAAGGCCGAGGGTTGGGCTGTATGATAGTGTTCTGGTGTCCACGGAGAGTTTCTGAGTTGGGCTCTTGATTCTTGACGTAAGAGGGAAGGACTAAGTCCACTATAGGCCTCTCAATTTATCATCAAGTCTGAAATTAGTCCTCATACCGAAATACAAGATACAATGCATCTCGCAACTCTCAAAACCACTGCAACTAAGGTCCAAAGTGGTTTGAACAACGGTTTCAGCTGATGTGACGCCTACATAAATGGTTTGATTTAATCCCCGTCCCACGTAGCTTAGCTGTGGCATTAAAATCAAGATCAACAAATTTTAAAATAAAAATGAAATATATGGATCCATATGCCAGTCAAATAAAAACATAAAAAATATAATGCAACCCACATGTTGATGGATCCCATTTCCTCCATCTCGCCCCCTCTCTCCTCTCTATCTTCTTCATGTCCACGGTGTTACATCTCATCGCAACCCTCCCTCCCTCTCCCCCTGTCGTCGCCTCCACTCCCCCATGCCTACCTCCTCAAGGCCCCTCCACCGCCACTGCCTCGTGTCCTGGGGGGGAGGAGAGAAGCCCACAAGCCTCGACCGGCTCCCGCTGCCGTCGGAGCAACAGCCCGTTGTTCACCACCACGGGTTGCGGAGGGAACCGGGGCCCTGCTGCTCTCGCCTCCCTCTGCGTCGGTATTTAGACAGTAGTCACTGAGGGGCAGCACCATGAGGTGGGCGGCACGTTTCGCGGGGCTTGGGCTGGGGAGCCGTCACGCTGCTTTCGAGTTCATCAAATAGAAACAGAACCAACATTCACAATATTTACTTTGAAATTTTCAGGGCTTTCTTGAAGGAAAAGAAGAGGAGATCCAATGGATTTCTTTTTTAATCAATTTGGAGGGAGAGACAATGGCATGGCCGGATCGAGTGGAGGAGGCGGCATCAGTCTCGACTGTGCAAAAGAGTTCCATCTGCAGGAGGAAGACGACGACGGTAGAGCGATGGGGTCCAAGTGGTTAGTGAGATGGGAAGGAGATAGAGAGGAGAAAGAGGTGAGGTGGAGGAAGTGGGTCCCACTATATTTTTTATGTTTTTATTTGACTGACATGTGGGTCCATATATTCATTTAATTTATTATTGTTTTAAATTTTGATTCTAATGCCACATCCACACCACGTGGAATGAGGACCAAGTCAAACTATACATATAGATGTCACGTCAGCTAAAATTGGTGTCTGAACTACCTTAGGATCGTATTTGTAGTAGTTTTAAGAGTTGAGAGATATGTTGTATCTGGTATTTCACTTGACGAACGAATTTTAGACTCGGTTAAAAATGGTGAAGTAAACTTATTCCCATGAGGGAACTGCACTCTGGATCTTACATTAAGCCCATATACTTGGTGGGCCAATGTCCGTGCAATTCTTGTTTGAGAGACTGAGATGTACTAGACTACTACTCCCTCCGTCCTAAAAAAAGACAAACCCTGGTTTCCGTGCCCAACGTTTGACCGTCCGTCTTATTAAAAAATTATAAAAAAAAATAAAAAGACAAGTCACGCATAAAATATTAATCATGTTTTATCATCTAACAACAATGAAAATACGAATTATAAAAAAAAATTATATAAGACAGACAGTCAAAATTGGATATGGAAATTCAGGGTTTGTCTTTTTTTTGAGACGGAGGGAGTAGAGTAGTAGGAGTATATGTTGTTATACATTAACTTGGTTTAGTTCCTCTGATGATTATATAGCGTGTAGATGCTCAATTCAAAAGGCAAAGAGAACAGATTGCCTGAGAGGCTGAGACGGTCAAGACCTCATAACTTCTCTTAACCCGAACACACGGCAGCAAATTTGTCACGATCAAGCACTTAAATGAAGCCGTTGATTGTGGGGTCTAGAATTCTTATTGTACCGTCGGAAAATTGACGCCTGCACACCCCCACCCCTTCTTCCACGATACTAGCACGACTGATCCACATTTCCACAAAGCCGATCTCCACCTTTGTGAGTCGTGAATACGTTTGATCGAGAGTGTCCACTCCATTTCATGGGCAAAACCGAAGTGATAACACCGCGTGCATTTGTTGCCACCAACAAACAGAGGGTGACGGCATGATTAGGAAATCAGAGGGTGGGTGATGGAGACCACACTACCACACAAGTCAGGTCTCCGAAGCCGGCTGTGTTCGCATGCACCTTTTCCCATCGCCTCTCCTTCGTTTTCCGCGCGCACGCTTTTCAAACTACTAAACGATGTGTTTTTTGTAAAAAGTTTCTATACGAAAGTTGCTTAAAAAAATCAAATTAATCCATTTTTGAAAAAAAAATTAGCTAATACTTAATTAATCAAGTGTTAATGGACCGCTCCGTTTTCCGTGCACAGGAGTTAGGTTCCCATCTCCCCCATCCGAACTCAGCCGAAGCCCGTTCCCTTTAGTTCTTACAATCTTACCAAGTCATACCAATCAGTTGATCGTTGCAGCAAGGGGTCGAAGTGCCACGATAGTGACCGGAGTGTAACGAAGTTTACATCGTGTTGCCTAGCAGCAAAGAAGAAAAATATCGTCGACCCCACCGGCCACCACGGCGCACAGGAGTCAACAGCGAAGACCGGGGCGACCAAAATATGCCACGGATCGATCGGAACGCGACGAACGCAGACGGGGCCCCGGGGCGACGCACGCTTGACGAATCCATCCGCAGACGAAACAGCGAGCTGCGCTGACACCGTCGCCGGCGCGGCTCCCCCGCATATATCACGCTAGCGCACGGAGAGGCGCACCGCACCACCGCTCGTGTTCTACCAGCCAACCCAGACTCGATCCGCGGCCGCGCGCGCCTATCCGCAGCGAAGAGGATGACGCCGCGGCGGCGGCTGGCGCTGCCCGCGCTGCTGCTGTGGTGCCTGTGCGCGCTCCCGGCCCCGGCGCGGTCACAGAGCGCGGCCACGCCCGCGCCGGCGTCCAACGAGGGGTTCAACTGCACGGCGAACGCCACGTACCCGTGCCAGGCCTACGCGCTCTACCGCGCGGGCTTCGGCGGGGTGCCGCTCGAGTTAGCGGCCATCGGCGACCTCTTCGCGGCCAGCCGATTCATGGTCGCGCACGCCAACAACCTGTCCACCTCGGCCGTCCTGGCCGCGAGGCAGCCGCTGCTGGTGCCGCTCCAGTGCGGGTGCCCCTCCCGCTCGCCCAACGCGTACGCGCCCATGCAGTACCAGATCAACGCCGGCGACACCTACTGGATCGTCTCCACCACCAAGCTGCAGAACCTGACGCAGTACCAGGCCGTCGAGCGGGTGAACCCCACGCTGGTGCCCACCAACCTCGACATCGGCCAGATCGTCACGTTCCCCATCTTCTGCCAGTGCCCGACCGCCGCGGACAACGCCACCGCGCTCGTCACCTACGTGATGCAGCCGGGCGACACCTACGCGTCCATCGCCACGGCGTTCGCCGTCGACGCCCAGTCGCTCGTCTCCCTCAACGGGCCCGAGCAGGGCACGCGGAACCTGAGCTCCCCGGAGATTCTGGTGCCGCTCCGCAGGCAGGTGCCCGAGTGGCTGCCGCCAATCGTGCGCGTGAACAACATCTCCACGACGCCCGCGTCCCCGCCGCCGTCCAATACGCCTGCCCCACCGTCGTGAGCAACAATCGAGACGGGGTGGTGACCGGGCTAGCCATTGGATTGGGCGTCGTCGGTGGGCTGTGGCTGCTGCAGATGCTGCTGCTGGGCTGCCTGTGGAGGCGGCTTAAGGCGAGGGGGCGGCGAGCGGAGGCGGTGGCGAGCGGCGATGGCGGCGAGGGCGGCAGGTTTACCAAGGCCGCGTCCGGTGGCGGCGGCGGCGGCGGCGGGAGGTTCTTGGTCAGTGACATATCCGAGTGGCTGGACAAGTACAAGGTGTTCAAGGTGGAGGAGTTGGAGAGTGGCACGGGTGGTTTCGACGACGAGCACCTCATCCAGGGAAGCGTGTACAAGGCCTACATCGACGGTGAGGTGTTCGCCGTGAAGAAGATGAAGTGGGACGCCTGCGAAGAGCTCAAAATCCTGCAAAAGGTACACTCTTTTTCTTCCATAACTGAATTGTTCGTTTCAGCTCACTCCCAATTCAGAATGAACTGTTTCTTTTTCCTGTATTTTCCCTGAAAATTGGCTTCGGATTGCTAATTTACTGCTAACAGAACGAATCAATAATTGCTTAGGTGTCTTGCTGCTTACTAGTACTAGCTCAAATGAGTCCACTGAAATCATTGGTTCTGAGAGAGTGATTGAATTGTATAAAGAATAATTAGTGCTCGTATTCGATGATTAGATTAAACAGAAGTACGCACTTCTATACATTCCAACGCAGTGAGTTGTTCATTGGACTAGCGGCCGAGGCACTAGAGCAAATATTTTAGAGTCATGTTGGTGTCTGGATTTCCTTTTGTTGGTACATGGATAATTTGTTTTGGAGTGACACACTGACACTGATGTAAAAAGCCTTTTAGTTGTGCCAATTTGGACTGTGCCCAGCAGTAGCGATGCTAATGGAGTTATTAAGAAATTAGTGTTCGATCTGTCACTCTGCTAGTAGAGACGTAGAGTTAAGAAGTTAAGATTTGGATCTGTCACTCAGCTGCTGCCATCAGATGGTCAGATGCCTTGAGACGATTCTTAACGGCCTGCTGATAGCATAATGAGCCTTAGAAAATTAAAAGGGCCGCCCATGACCCATCTGCAAACGTACCGGCCATGTGATAGGCTTCAATGTTTAATCTCACCATCGATTGTTATTTGAATACGTTTGAACCGTGGGAGATTTGTAGTGCCGTGATAATTATGATGCCGCCAAAGAGTCACGTTAGGTGACGATGAAGTTCGGGTTGTCCTCTGATCCACTGGGAAATTTGGAAACCTTGTGCCTTCTATACCGTATCGTGTTTGATCCGTGTCTCTGTTAGTCTCTGCCACGAACGCACGAGCACTGCATCTCACCACGTACCTAGGTAGCTGCGTGCACCGCCGAATTGTTCTTCGCACGGTGATGTACGAGATTGGATTTTACGACGTTTTTTCAACGAAGGCTGCTGCATCGACAGCATGAACATTGACTGGCTCCTTGACTACCGACTACAGTACGCTTTGAGATGGGACCAGGTCCTTGACCTGCATCACATATGCACAACCAACTCAGGGCTAGTTGTGGAAGCTTTGAACTAAACTACAGGATAATGATAGGAGTGACAAAGTATGCCAAATTGCCAATTGTCAAATGGCATTTGCATTTTTTTTAGTATTATGTATTTTCCTCTCTTTTTTTTTCTTTTGCAAAAGAACCAGTTGTGTGCCCATTTGATCTCAGAAATCAGAACCTGTCAGTACTCAGTAGGTTGTAGCAAGGTGGGTGTTGATGTTGGCAACATTGTCGCAGGTGAACCACAGCAACCTAGTGAAGCTGGAGGGCTTCTGCATCAACTCGGAAACCGGCGACTGCTACCTGGTGTACGAGTACGTGGAGAACGGCTCGCTGGACCTGTGGCTCATGGACCGCGACCGCGCGCGGCGGCTGGACTGGCGCGCGCGCCTCCACATCGCCCTCGACCTCGCCCACGGCTTGCAGTACATCCACGAGCACACCTGGCCGCGCGTGGTGCACAAGGACATCAAGAGCAGCAACGTCCTGCTCGACGACCGCATGCGCGCCAAGATCGCCAACTTCGGCCTCGCCAAGACCGGCCACAACGCCGTCACCACGCACATCGTCGGCACGCAGGGGTACATCGCGCCGGAGTACCTCGCCGACGGCCTCGTCACCACCAAGATGGACGTGTTCGCCTACGGCGTCGTCCTGCTCGAGCTCGTGTCGGGGCGCGAGGCCGTCAGCGACGACAGCGGCGAGCCGCTGTGGGCCGACGCGGACGAGAGGCTGTTCCGCGGCCGGGAGGAGAGGCTGGAGGCGCGGGTCGCGGCGTGGATGGACCCCGCGCTCGCCGAGCAGACGTGCCCGCCGGGCAGCGTCGCCAGCGTGGTGAGCGTGGCGAAGGCTTGCCTGCACCGTGACCCGGCGAAGCGCCCCAGCATGGTGGACGTGGCGTACACGCTGTCGAAGGCAGACGAGAGCTTCGGCGACTACTCGGGCGAGAGCGTGTCCGTCGCCAGCAGCGGCGGGATCGCAGCGCGGTGAGGTGTCGCGGGCCAATCATCCCCAGTGCCCGTGTTTGTTAGTGGTAGAACTTGTACTAGTAGTAAATAGCGAGTGGCGATAGAGAGCAGGTAGCTAAATAATCTCTGTCGTTACGTTACACGCGAGGTTGGGATTGTCAATTAGTTTTCGTGGGGAGAAGTTGGTTGTTACTTGCAACTCAGTTGTGCAGAAACTGCATATAGAACTATAGAAGCATCAAGCATTTCTGTGTCCGTCGGGACTCGGGAGTACCAAATGAAAGTAGCGATAGATCACCAATTGGCGGCTTCACATACGGCAGCTGAGATGCGATCCTCCATCCAGCAATATTACAGACAGATTCCAAACCTTGCCAGTCCACAATGGCGCTGAGAATCAAAGGCCGAAGGGAAAAGGGAGAAGAGATAAGTCTATTTAGCCTCTCTCATATCTTGCCTCGGTCAAGTCGTATCTCTCAACCGCAAAATTGGGTATGTTGTCTCCTCCAACTTCAGAAACTGGTTCAAAAATAGTCCCAAAGCAGTATTGAACCCGGTTTGGGCTTACATGTCATCCACATAACGTATTGACTAGGTCAGGAAAAGAATTAAAAACAATAATACCCACATGTCAGGGACCCTATCTTCTTCCGTCTGCCTCCTCTCTTCTCCATCTCTCCACCTCTCCACTCTCTTCCTTGTGACCTCCAGGCCGACCGGTGAGAGAGGAGCAAGGCGGCGTGTGGGAGAGGAGCAAGGCAGCGATGGTATCTCCTATCTATCGAGCGTGGAAGGAGGATCGAGCTAAATGGATCATGTGTATGGCATGCTTGGATTGCAGTTGCCCGCTCCATTGCCGTGCTTCTTCGCAACACTATCGCCTCCTCCACCCCTCCCGTATCCATCGACGACCTCTTCACCGCCAGATCTAGAATCACGCTGACTACTCTACCCATGGCCAATGCGTCATTGTTCTGGGCGGTTGGTAAGTGCGAAGGCGGCGCAGATCCGGTTAAGAGGCGGAGGAGCGAAGGCGGCGGTGTAGACTTGAGCGCGCGATAGCGACGGACAGGAAGAGGAGAGGCGGCGGCAACACAGACCTGTAGTGCATGACGGCGACAAAGAGACGGAAGAGAGGAGGCGCTGAATCCCGCCCTCCTAAGGTCGCTAGTGCTGGATCTGGCCCCCAATGGCCGTCGACGTCTTCTCCGCCACCCCCAATCTTACCACAGACGAGTCTATTGTACGGAACTTCCTGTTGACAGAAAACACGAGGCCTGGGAGATCTGCTTAACTCCAGTGCAGGTTCAAAGCTCGCCTTCAAATGTATGAGCGTGTCAGTTGATTTGATCATGTAATCAACAAGAAATAGAAGCAAAAAAACGCAGTTAAATCTATAAATGATAGCCGATCGGCTAGGTGCCGATGACATATCATTTATCTTTGAGCCAATGTCATATATGCATCGATCAGCAGTCATTAATAAATAAGGAGGGACTAAATCTACTCGATCGGCTACAGATATTACCAATATATAATCTTTATATCGATATATACTTAAATCAAGTGATTGTGATAGATCGGTCACCATGCCGAGACAATATAAATCACTTAGATCAAAATATATATTAATAATGAGACTATATACGTTCATAGCATAGCCGATCAGATAGATCTAGCATGTATCGGCTAATAATCCGATACCACTCTATATTAAGATATTAAAGCAAGTAGAATATACTAAACAAAAGCCTAATATACTTAAATGCAGCAAGATCTTAACGTAAAGGGCAGATTTAACACGTCAATCAAGTATATAGGATAAAAAGTAGTTAAATCAGGTAAGATCGGCTGAAACTCCGATACTACCCTAATCAGCAACCAAGAAGCGGGCTAGAGATTGAGATTCTAATCACGACTCATAAGATCAAACTTAACTGATGCAGCTATAAGTATGAAAAGAAGGACAATATCTAGACAATCAAGCCGTTGGATGTGTCATAGAGTGGTAGATATCCTATATAATCTAAGTCAACATCGGTATTTAACCTAATCGGCTACCTTATATTGACGGATGTTAGCCGATTGTAGGTTGGATATCGATATTGCCAAGGATTGTGTAGGATATATGATAACTCGATGAATTACATAAACAAGATTAGAGTGTCATAAAGATGGAAGCACTAATCCCGAGAACGCAAGCCGCCATAACAAGTTTTACCTCTTGTTGAAGATCGAAACCGATGCAGCTCAACCCGAAAGCAAGAACTCATCGAAATAAAACTAAAGCAAAAAAGGGTGGCGATGCGCCGAGTTTGTATTGAACCTGTGTGTTCTAAGTTACATAGGGCTCGGGTCTATTTATACCCGAAAATTACAAGATATGTCCATAACGGACACGACTACTATCTCTAACAAACTCTAAGATACCATAAGTCTTTGCGGCAGACTTTTGCCAAAGCATATCTCTAATGAAATTACCTAAAACATCCTAAGTAATAGATACAATTGTCTTCTCAGGACTCTATCCATGTGCGGCAATCACCTTGAAGCACCTCAATTCAACCTGATGTCATACATCAAGTTGCATTGTTGGAATCGGCTGCATCGGCTTACCTAGCCCGACTCAGACCCAGCCGATCCTAATCGTAGCTTATCTGGACTCCAGCCGATTCCTGCTCTGTTTCCGAACTCGATCTCCGCCTCCGACTTTGCTTCGATCTAATCTTCTTTCCCGATGCCGATATTACCAAATTTGGTTGTTAACACCTCCTTACTGTCGGATGCACCGTCCTTGTTCCCCCCACGGTCAGATCACGTGCGCAGCGTGCTTGGGCTGGCTCGACCAGCAGCCAGTGGCTCACTGGCGTTCTCCTTCGACTCGGCGGCATGCTGACGACAGAGCACATGCACTAGCTCGCGCTTGGCCTGGAGCTTAGCAGACAACACTTCCTGTGGGTGGTGAGAGAGAGAGAGAGAGAGAAGAGGGGGGAGGGAAGGGGGGACAAGTTGTGTAGGAGGAAAAAAGTAGTAGTCACTTACATGTGGGCTCATATATATTTTATAATTTCTTCTATGACTAGGATGCCACGTTAGCCAAACGGAAATGCTACATACCGGAATCCCGTCCGGACGGGACACTTGTTATTCAAAGAGGAGCGATACCTCACCATGCATGTCCCGAGCAGCAGCAGCCTGTACAGGACATGGTGCCGCTCCAGCATGCACGCATGGCTGACATGGGCGGCGGTGCTACGGCGCCCATGCCCGCACCGTCGACGCACTACCCCGCGCGCGACCGCGAGCTCCTTGCCGGCAGCTCTGGCGCCGGCGCAGGGGAGGAGGAGCCCAGCGCGGACGCAACGGCAGATGAGGAAGTAGAGCGCGAAGGTGCTGCCCTCGCCGCGTCGTTGGCGTAGAGCACGACGAGCACGTACTTGGCTAGCTCGTCGAGGCGGCGGAGGAAGTGGTCGCCCGCGACAAGCTCCGACGTGGCGTGGACGGTGCATGATGTGACTGTCGGCGACGAGCTCCGGCGTGGGACGTGGATGACGAAGGACACGCCCGTCGGCGACAAGCTCCGTCGTGGGATGTGGATGACGAAGGACGCGGCCACCGGTGACGAGCTCCGTGGCGTCGACGGTGGAGGATGCGGCCGTCGGCGACGAGCTCCGGCGTGGGGCGTGGATGACGGAGGACGCGGCCGCCGGCGATGAGCTCCGACGTGGCGCGGACGGTGGAGGATGTGGCCGCCGGCAACGAGCTCCGGCGTGGGACGTGGACGGTGGGACCACCGGCGACGATGCTTTAGTGCCCGGCTCCTGATATCTGGTAGGTATTGTCTGATACCTCATAAGTATTACCTTCTACGTGATAAGAATCGCATGATATCTAATACTCCATCCGTTTCATATTATAAGACTTTCTAGCATTGCCCACATTCATCTAGATGTTAATGAATCTAGACATCTAGATATGGCTAGATTCATTAACAACTAGATGAATATGGATAATGCTCGAAAGTCTTATAATATAAAACGAAGGAAGTAGGTATCATTTGATACCTAACAAGTATCACCTGATACCGGTTAGGTATCAGGACCTAATACCTCGTAAGTATCACCCTCTACGTGGTAAAAATCGCATGATACATGATAGGTACCATCTGATACCTCACAAGTATCACCTGATACGTGGTAGAATCGCATGATACCTGATAGGTATCACCCGATACCGGCTAGGTATCAGGACCTGATACATCGCAAGCATCACCCACCACGTAATAAGAATCGTATGATACCTGATAGGTATCACCCGATACCGGCTAGGTATCAGGACCTGATACATCGCAAGCATCACCCACCACGTGGTAAGAATCGCATGATACCTCATAGGTATCATATGATACCTTGCAAGTATCACCTGATACGTGGTAGAATCGCATGATACCTGATAGGTATCAGGACCTGATACATCGCAAGCATCACCCACCGCGTGGTAAGAATCGCATGGTACCTGATAGATATCATTTGATACATCACAAGTATCACCTGATACGTGGTAGAATCACATGATACCTGATAGGTATCACCCGATACCGGCTAGGTATCAGAACCTGATACATCGCAAGCATCACCCACCACATGGTAAGAATTGCATGATGCCTAATAGGTATCATCTGATACCTCGCAAGTATCACCTAATACGTGGCAGAAACGCATGATATCAGTTAGATATCAGGATTTGATAAGCACCATGTATCGTTTATCAAGACCGATCCCACCATGTATCAAATATGATACTTGGCCATCCGATTATCTGGTACTTGATACCAACCGATATCACACACGATGCCTGTTATGAGGCATGGCACCCACTCGGTATCAGACATGTGTGATGCCTGTTATGAGGCATGGCACCCACTCGGTATCAGACGTGATACCTGATAATAGACTTGATGCTCACCCGGTATCAGATGTGATACCTACCTAGTATCAGATTTGACACCTGGTAGCTAGGTAGGCTACTACTTGCTATACTGAACTAGTTTAGCTATCACATGAAGATTTTTTGCGTATGAACGTGGACAAAATGACAAACGATAGGGTGACATGACGCACCTTTTGAGACACGATGACAGACATACTAATTGAATGGAAGGAATCGTCCAGCTAAATTGCTTGCAGGCCTATACCGTCCGAACGGTATACCGATATATAGCGCCCCCTAGCCAAAACATCCATCAAAACCGTCGAGGGAGTCATTTTGCACTGGTTTTAATACTTAATAGAACAAATATAT